CACACACACACAGAACCCAGGCATCCAGGGCATGACTGAGCCACCAACTTTTACACGGCTGATGAGGATGCTGCCCACGTCCTGCACAACTCTCCATCCCTAGGGTGATGGAGAGCCGGCATACTCCCAGGGTCCCCAATTTCATCATTGCCCCCCACAATCCTTGTTCAGGGCCTGACATACCCCCTCCTGACAAAGCTTATAAGGCCCTATGGGGGTAGCTGGACTGTCAAAAGGAGCACTTCAACTACAGACTGGGCCTGGCACAGTAAGCCCATGTGGTAGAAGGACAGGGGAGAAGGCAAGTCCCCCATCGATGTATGTGGCCCCAGCCCTGAACCACAGCAGGATGTCCAGAGTCCTGGCCAAATGCTTTCTCCCCCACATAGACCAGGAGCCCTCCTCAGATGTGTAGGGCCTGAAGGCTTCAAGCTGACACCCTAGCACCAGGCCACTGGTCTGCTGCCCCGGGCTCCTTTGGCACCATTATAGGCGCCACTGCCTTCAATGTAAGCTGTCCTAGAACTATCCCTCTTCCCTTTTCCATCCACACACCCCCAGGGGGTACACACTGGGTTGCAGATGAATGTGGCACGAAGAAGAGATGTGCCTTGTTTTAATCAAAAGTTCAAGCTGGCAAACTGTTAGTGTGTTTGTTAAATTAAAACTGTGCAATGTTTCCCACTCTCGAACTTGGAACCTTCTTTTCTATTAACATGGAGAGAGTGGGGAAAGCCTCGCCTGTATCAGGTGGTTATGCCGTTGAGGGGGGAGGAGGATAGGCAGCCATGGGAGGTTCAATTTAACAAACACAAAACCTTCAGCCAGCAAGGGGAATGCCATGAACAAAGGTGACACATGGGGGGGAGCACGGGGGGGCCACTTGCACCCCCCTGAGATTGGCTGATGCTGATGCTGATGCCAGTGTCTATGGGCAGTCACAGCTCGCCACCTGCCCCCCACTCGCTGTCAACACCAGCATCTGTAGGTGGTTGCCACCTGCCGCTGCCGCTGGCATCTGTAGGCAGTCCCCGCTCACCTGCCCCCCACCATCACCGGAGTCTGTGAGCAGTTGCTGCTTGCTGCTGCTGGCATCTGCTAGCAGTCCCCACTCAGTGCTCACCACTCCCTCTCCCCCCCCCCACTGCCAATGCCACCAGTGGTGTCTGCAGGCAGACTCTGCTCACCACCGACACTGCACCTACAAATGATGCCTCCCCCCACTGCCCCAGTCTCGGGAGGCACCAGTCATTTATGGCCATGAGATAAACTAATGCCCCTTGGTTTAATTAAATGTTGCAGTTGCCAAACTTTTGGGGGGTATAATCAAGAAAAACTGTGAAACATTGCCCACTCCTGAACTTGGACCAGAACCCAGGGGGCTGCCATTCCCCACAGTGGGACCTGGGCCCACAGTGGCCTGACCTGGTGGGCTGGTGGGATGCTCTCCCTACCCCGTTCTCTTCAGGGCCCTGCATCTGTAATGGCAACTTCCAGTGACTGGGTATAACAAGTTACCCTTGGAAGGTGGGCTGAGTCAATGCCAGCCCTGTCGTCAAGTCTTGGGCAGCTTGGTATCCTGTCCCTTCTGTATTGCTGCTCCCTGGAGTGGACCCTGCCAGAGGCTTTCCTGGATCTTCAGGCCTCAGGTTGGCAGCTCCCATGTGCCAAATCTCCTGTTCTGGGCCCTTCCCTGCCCCCCAGCATCCCCCAATCAATGTGTAGTATGATGCATTCCTCCATGGCCACTATCCAGGGCCCTCTCCCCTGCCCCATGGGACTCTTGGGTGTGTCACCTTAGGGAAGAGTCCCTAGAGAGGGGTTCTCCATGGTGTGAGGGGGTGGGCAGCAGCCTACCCCACCACTCCAACCTGGGAGGACACTGGTCTCCCTGTGAGAGGTGGACCTGATGTTATTCAGGGGCATCTCTCTCAGCTCCGTAGTGGCACATGCAACCTCCCTCAAAGAGTAGTTGATCATTCATAAACCTCATTCGTGGACCTTCAAGGCATGTTCCTGGCCCTGGAAAAGTGGAGTCCACAGGCAAGAGAGGCACCGAGGGACCTCTGGTATGTCCCCTTCCTGGACTCTTTCCTCTGCCCAGGGTCAGAACCTACGCATCTGCTTGCAACCTAGCACTAACCATGGCAAGGAATGTCAATGTTGTGCCTCCCAAATGGAAAAACCCAGATGCCTAGGTCCCCCTGCTCTGGGACCTGGGAAGCCTGGGAACCCTAAGTGTCAGGGCCCATTTCTCACTGCACCTTACCTGCAGTGGTGCTCATTCATAGATGCTCTGCCAAACAGTGCCGAGGTCACCAGCAAAGATGTGGAGATTTGTTGGTTGGTTACCAATAGATGTTGGCTGTGAGGCTTGAAAAAAGCTTTCCATGTGTATCAGGGTCAGGTTAGGTTAGGGTTTGTATCAAGTGGACCTGTCTCAGGAAAGCAATGTGATCTTGAAGGATGGGCCAGTCTGTTGACAATTACCCAGATTTATGACCCTACTCAATGTAACACAAACTGATAAGCCCCCCAAAACAATAGGGGGTACCAGTCCTAGTGCCTCTGCTTCATTCCAGGCCAGTGGCATGGGGGTCGGAGAGAAGGTTGTTTGAAAGGCGTGAGTTCAGGGAGGAGCATCAATAAATCATGATCATCGGTCTTCCATGTGAACAATCATCAAGCCAAAAACATGCTGAACATCAAAGTAGGCAACCACATCTTTCGCTATAAGCATATCCCAACTTAACAATAAGTCACATTAGACCATTCCCTAACCTATAAGGAGGGACCCACCCAAATCAAGGTGCTCATATTTATTATCATTTCAAAAGATGGACCATATTCTAAGCTGGTGTAAATCAGCATATCTTTATTGAGTTTAATGATATTACCTCAGTTTATGCCAGGTAGTACATTTTAGTTAGAAGGACTGAACAGGAAGCACAGAATGATTAAAGTGATTTGTGTCTGGTTTATCTGCTATAAAAGAGCTCCCACACCTCATTATTTGATATGGGGTGTTCACTTTCTCATCCCATGATACAGTGCAATGGCAAGCACTGCATTTTAAGGAGTTCCATGTTGTTTATGTCATATTCTCTGCACTGAAGTTAGGGGATGGGGATTAGAATGGCATTAATTATTAAATGATGACATTTCATCTTATATCCTTAATATCTGTGCCAAAAACCCCATCTGAGGCTTCAGTGAACATGAAAAGCTGAAATATCCTGCCTGGGCAGAGTTTGAAAGGTTGGGGTGAAACTCCCCAAATTTAAAATGCAGTTTTTCAGACTAAGCTTTTTTTTTCCTTTAGCAATATGACCTTTATTGGATCATTGCCTCTTGATGACTCACAGTGGCACAGCATGGTAAAAGATGAAGCTGTGGTGAAAGAATGGCTTCTAGTTCTCTGAAGCAGGCTGTGCTGTGGTGGGCAAATCTACCCAAGCACAGTTTGGAGTCAGTCATGACATGAAAGGGAAGCTAGACCCTAAGATAAAGTGGCTAACCTACCCATGCATGCTCTAATTTGGAGAATACGTTATAGGTTTTTTCTCTTTTTTGGTTCAATATCTATTTTAAGTAAGCATTTTTTAAACTTCCCTGCCCATCCAGTTCTAGATGCTGTTCAGCGCTTTCATTAGCCCTGAGAGTACTCTCAGCACTACACAGAAGGCCACTAATGACATAATGTTC